GATCTCCAAATACAGAACACACATTCAAGAGCTGCTGAAGACCTGCGGAACTAGGACTAAATACCACAAGGTCATCTGCATACATTAAATGATTCACTACAACACCTCCAACCATGCAACCCGTTCTACACATACTTAACTTTTTTGAGAGATCATTCATATAAAAGTTAAATAAAATCGGGGACAGCAAACTACCTTGCCTGACCCCGTTACTGGTCTGAAAAGGATCAGATATACAATTTTATATTTTTAAATGGAATTCACTGTTTCAAACTTTTTAATATCAGAGTTCAAGTGCATTTGAGCACATAATAACAGTAACAAGAAGAAAATGAAGTTACACTGCTTACAGTTTTGCTGAGATAACCTGTGGAAATATTCCTGCATTGCTTGTCCTCAGAGTGGCAGCATCCTCCACATCTGTAGACGGACACACAGGGTGGTTTATAGAAGATGTTGGTGGGAGCGCCGAACTCCCTGCCCACGTCAACACACACTTCCCTGGGCACACACTGAGTCTTCCTCCACTCCGACTCTATACCTGCACACACAGAAAGTCACACTGTTTTTTTTCTGCTACTGTACGCATGGACGGCGATGAACAACAGAAATTAACCTAGAAGTGAACAACTTGGTTCATTACCAAATACGAGTACACTTCGGGGGAGGGAGTGTGACCAGCCATAATTAATGACAGTAGCATGACAATGGACTCTTCCTAATCCCAGCATGTATATATACATCATCTTGCAACATCTTCTAGCTATGTAGACACAAAATGTCCAAAATCATACCTTCTCAGAACACTGTGTACAGTAGAGCTAACACAGAGCAGGCTGTCAGATTACTGCATAAAAGTAGTCCAAGTTGTCACCAGGGCATAAAATCTGTCATGTCAAATCTACAAAATCACATGGGTACCTAAACTATAACCCTGCCTATTAAACCTTATTGAATCCTTAATATTGTTCTATCTATCTAAATATACAGTAGGTTCAAATGTCTGATATTAATGGTCCTGCTTTAGAGAATATATCTTATTTCATGGTGATACTCAACTATTTATACAGTAGTCAATCATGCACTGTAAGCATCAACTTTCTACATGCACATTTATACAGCCAGAGAAACAGACTCGGCTTGATGTGAGTTAAGGTAATATGAGTTTTCTTAAAATGAGTCTTCAAAAGCCACTACTAAGGGGCTTTGATGCAGAAACAAACATTTTGTGACAACAAAGCAAACTTAATTATTGCAGAGGCCACTTTTCATTAAATAATTCTCCGAAGGGCCCTAAAAAGATTAGGGAAAGCCATGGATGTTGTGCTCAGCGATGCTTTAGGGAAGTATTTAGAGTGCTGCTGCGATGATCCACACTGAGCGTTTTTGCAAGTCTGAAAAAATGAATATTAAAACAAAGTATTTTACGTACTTTTTAGGGCATCCAAGTTGAGGTAGGCAGCAGCAAATGTTGGTTTCTCTGTGTCATCCTGTGGCCCGAGTTGTCGGGATTGTGGCTGCTGAGAGAGTTTAGAGGTCGAGGAGGCAGCGGCAGCAGAAAGTTTGGATCTGCACTTCAGAGCGGCCCAGTATGAGGGATAGATGAGACTCATCAGTTCATCAACACTGGAAGCTGAACGCAACTTCTGTTCCATGTCTGGCTTTGGTGGAGAGTCCTGAAAGAGACAAGACACAGTCATTGAGAACCTTCTCATTCAGTTCATTTAGTGCCAAACTATCATTCTATGGCTGTACATCTGTGGAGCTCTGTGTTCACATTTGCTCTGCATCATCCAGGCAGAATGATTTTCTGAAGAAGCCTCTTTCCATTTGTTTGGCTGTTGCTGCCATGCTTTTCTGTGATTGGCACAACTGTTTATTTAGCATTATGATTTTTTTGTGTGATTTATTAGTATTTTAGTCAGAGCTCTCATTTAAGTTACAGTCAAGCTTCAGCAAGACACCGAACCCCCAAGTTGCCCCCGATGGTTTGAGCCATGTGTGAGTTGCCGCTGCAGATGGCTGCCATCGGTTCTGTACCGGAAACAAATTCCTTGTGTGTAACATACTTGGCCAATAAAGGTGCTTATCCTTATCCTTAACATGCTTGGCCAAACAAAGGTGATTATTATCCCTTATCCTTATCTTCTGAAATCCTGAGCACCACACCCTCGGACTTTAGCCCCTTTTCCATCGCCTGGTAGCGGCTCAGCTTGACTCTTCTTACCTTATTTGTTTTTGCATCAGTCAAATATTGGGGATAGTACCTGGTAGTATTTTTTATATCATCACTGTTGGGGTTTCAGTCAAGCTGAGGCGATACCAAATGGTGATGCGTAAACACTGCGGACTAGCGATTGGTCAGAGAAATTCATCATTGTTACGGGGTAATCTTGCCACCAATGAACATGGATGTTTACATGTGATGACACCAGTGGTTTGTTCTTCACTCAGCTGCCACTTGTCTCTCATGAGTGTTACAGAGGGTCAAATTTATGGAGACAGAGGCCTTGAGCCTCTGTTACTATATAACCGTGATATTACATGAACCACCACATCATTGCATCTTATCACGCAGCCCACAGGTTACTGAATGTGATAATACGAACACAGTGGCTACAGCTATGCCTGCTGAGTAGAGCTAGCTAGCTGGCAGGTTAGCAGGTCATCACATCTCTGAAAATATTGGAGCAAATCTGTAATTGACATCACTGGATTGACCACATATTAAAAAAACTAGCTGATTATTTTCTTGTCTGAAAAATGATCAAAACTTGAAAATTACAACAGCTTTGAACCTGCCATGCCACCTCTGTGGTTCAGTCACTTCACGGCTATTTCATTTGCCATCCCTGTGACAACTGGCTACACTGCAGGGAGGAATTGAGCAGAGTTGAGTTGAGCTGATACCAAGTGCTGGGAAAGGCGCTTCATATTCTGCTTCAACCAGACCTGATGCATTTGGCGCTATCTGACGAGCACATCACAAAGTTTTGTAAGGCCTGAGTACTGTCACATGTTGGCCATGAGGTGTAGAGTCAAACACACTTCATAACAGTAGAGTCTTTACTGGATTATCAGTCTGGTAATCTGGCAAACTTGACTCTGAGTTACATCCAAGTCATAGACGCACTCTGCACCTTTTTCTAATTGATTACATGGGGTGCAAGCATTTATTACATGTCCTATGTACTCTGGGTAATTCTATGCTCCTGTTTTGGGAGGAGCACTTTGTGCGCATCTTGAAAAATGTTTAAAAATGTTCGTGTCTTAGCAGAAAAACACTTTTTGTCAGCTTTCTTTCTTTTTTCTGCCAACTGGAAGACCAGAGGGGTGATCAACAACAAGAATGTAATGTAATGGTGTCGACCACTCAGAGCTACTGTATGTGACAGCATTTTCATGACATTAGCAACAAACATTATCATACAGGCAACATTAAATAAGTTTTATATTTACTACTTTGTTTCAGCTGTTTTTAATTGTCTGAACACAACTGCTGTTGATATCACTTGGGCAACACATGTATAACTGACAGCCAAAACATGTTGGTCAGAACAGCAGGGGTGAACAGGATTATTGTGTGTACTAAGACATCCAGTCTAAACCTTCTTCTTCTGACAGTTTCTCAGCTTATCTGGTTGTTTTATCTAGAGTGCTTCATTGCATCTCACCCTATGGCAAGAGTAGCACAACTCCAGCCTTATGGAAACTGCCATAAACATGTTGTTATGATTACAAAACTATTGCGGTCTCATTACATTTTGTCACATTTTGGCTAGGTTTAGGAATATAAACTACCTAAAAAACATATATGACACATTTGAATCTCACTCACCTGCAGGTAAGCCCTGTGTTTTGTGTACCTGTAGCCATCCTTCCAAACCTGCTCCTAACAGTGACTTTGTGTCTCTGTACTACATCACATCTTACTCCTTTGCTTGTGTCATAATTACTGTAGTTGCTAGACATCACCAAACCATAATACACAACTGTGGGTTGTAATAACCTTCTGGCACAAATGTCCTATTGACTCTTTTTTTTCATGTTTTTTTCAAACGCTTTTATATTTTAAGTAATGAACATTGCAGACTCTTAGGAGAGGCCAAAGCATCTAAAGACCTAAAGTCTGGTTGAATGAAAACATTTATTTAACTAGTCATCTGTCATGAATTTCAAAGCAGTAATCCTTGATTTCATATTTTTGAATGTGGGATGGATTGAATGAGAGCATTCAGCTGATGAATAACAGAATAATAGCAGATAAATAAACTTCAAATTTAATCTAGCTTTTAAAATTAATGCAGTTTAATTGGAAATGTATTAGCTCATTCTTGTGAAACTGCCTGTCAGTAGGTGGATGTGATGACAGCACAAATATTCAAAAGCTAGCATATACTTTATTAAATAGGAATCACAGCAACTGAAACAAATGGCAGGTCATGAATTCAGCTGACCACCTCTCACTCACACATAGACACACACATACTGTAGGCTCTGAGGGAGTCATGAAACCAGGAGATGTGTGAAGGGAACGTTGATGTGCCTGTAGCACAAAGTCCCACACACAGTTTATGGGTAATTTTCACCACTCAGTTCTGTTTCATAAAAAGTGCATATAACATTATTCTTAATTTGTATTGCTAACAAGCATTGTAAATGTACTCATGAAATAACACATGGAAGAATGTGAAGAATGCTGGCCACAGCCATGATTAACCATTATGTCAATGACATGGCCCAAGTTCCAGTGCACTTGAAAGTTACTCTTTTACAGCTGTGTTAATACTAGCCGACATCTTTTAAACCATTCCAATGGCTTGTTTAAACTAAAAAGAGAAATTTATTTTATTTTACCAGTAAATAGCTTCAGGGATGTTATAGGATTAATAATAACTGACTAAATATAATGGCATTATTATATTACCCTGTACTAGCCAGCATGTCAACTTTGCCAACTTTGGTAGTGTATGACTAGCAGCATATTGCTGTGTTTAATTAAGCTTTGTTTAATAAGCAGGTCATAGTGAAGTTAATTTCTCTTTTGCAAAAGAGACCAGAGACAAATATGCTAGATCAAATTACATATCAAGATTATAACTAGACAGTTCATCAGTTCTCATGTCAGAATCAGAATCTTCTTTAAAGGCCATGTATGTTTGAACATACAGGAATTTGACTCCGGTACAGAAGCTCTCGATGTGTTGTAAGGCAAAAGGAATAGAAAGTAACAATGGGAATAAAAATAAAAAGTAGAGCAATAAAAATGAAAATAAGAATAAACAGTGAGTGTAATTGAAAATAGCAAAGGAATGAAAGGAAAAGAGAGACAGGTTTTACATTCTGTATGTATACATCATGTTAGAAGAGCATTCAGACTGATATATACAACGTTATATTTACAGTTTATTGCACTGTGGTGAGTGCTGTGTCTAATCATACAGTCATGGATTAATCAAAAGGAGGCCAGTGAAGATTTCTGCAGACCCCTCACACCCTGGACACAAACTGTTTGAACTCCTCCCCTCTGGACTGCGCTACAGGTCACTGTACGCCAAAACAAGCAGAACCAGGACAGTTTCTTCCCCCAGGCTGTCACTCTGATGAACACTTAACCCATGACTGTATAACAGAACAACAACCCTTAGTGCAATACCTTGTAAATATACTTTTGTATATATCTGGAAAAATGCATCTGAACTGTGTATATATATAAGTACTGTGTGCATTTATTTTATTTTTATTTTCCTAATATACATTCCCTTTTCCTGTTTGCACATTATTTATCTTGTTTGCACATTCCTTTTCTTTTCTTGTTCTCTCAGTCTTGCTTACTTGTTGCCTTACAGAAGAACATTGTACTGTACATACACACTGAGAGCCACTGTACCAGAGGCAAAGTCCTTGTGTCCAACACACCTTGTCAATAAAGCTGATTCTGATTCTGATTAAATGTACTTAATGGACATGTCAGGTCAGAGACAGCTGCTACAAGTCAGTAAAGTTGTGCCATGAAAACCGTCTTGGGACAACAATCCATTTTTGAGACAACCGCTGCCTGCTCCAGTGTAGTCCTCTAGAGAGCAGTGTCAGCTGCTCATGTAGATGCTGCCACTTTACACCTTAAAATCTGGTTTTTGCACCTAATTGCTTGCACCCATGTTCTTGTTGTGGGAATGAGTGAAATGACAAATATGGCTGTTTTTGATTGGAACAAGAGCGCTCATTTGCCATTGTCTCACCCTTGGCCCGGAAATTGCCCGAACCATCTTCAGCTACTTCTGATTGAAAAATGCAGAAGTTTGAAAAACCTCTATTGCTTTTAGGTATAATGGCATTACGGAGAAACTGACTTCCCCTTGTCAAAGGTCTGAACTCTGAGTGCTGTCTATTTGGTGAATGTGTTCTTTTTTTGGATTTAGCTCACAATTATTCTTCTGTAACAAATGCATGGGTAGTGCATACAAATGTTATCTCACTTCCTGTCCTTCAATACAATTAAATTTAGGCCATTGTACTATTGATAATAAACCAAGGTTTTAACATCCACACAATCTGCAAGGAAGGCCATGTCTCTCTCTCACACACAGACACACACAGACACACTGAGTGGCCTTTGTATTAAAGGTTGCTCAAACAGAGTGAAGCAGTCCATCATATTTTACTGCCTCTGTAA